CCTTCCCATGAACAACTTTCCCTGGAAACCTAGAACACTTTTAGTACATTCCAGAAGGCAGGTGCTCCAGGAAGTTTCACTGGTTGGATCTCAGTCACTTCTCTTGCATCCAGGGACCCATGATCATGAGACAAGGTCCAAATCTCTGTCCTGGAGGAAACTGTTGCTTATATCTGCTATTGAGTCACTCTTTAGTGCTTTCTTATTTCTTATTAATCAATCCATGGTCACTCCAACCCATTATAGTTAATAATTCTTAATATATAACTTGCTTTGTTCAAATTTTTGTGTAGTTTCTTCTGATTGGATGAAGACTGATAAACTCTTCACTTGGCTAATTTTACTCATCATTTAGATATTATTATTTCCTCAGAGATACCTTCTTTAATTCCTCAAATCAAACCATATCCTTTACTTTTCTTTCATAGCATATAAAATTATGCATTAATTTAATTTTTGTTATTATTTGTACATTACCTTACTAGATAGTAATCTAGGACAGGAATCATATTAATTTGCTTCTATATTTCAATATCTGTCATACTATTAGACCCAATGATGGATCAAAGGAGCATTGAATGAGAAAAAAGAGAAAATATTTAATGAAGTCTTATTATATACGAGTCATTTGTGGTAGCTAATAAAAAGTATATATTACTGTTCATAGGGAGTTGGCAAATTTACAGGAGGAAAAACCATTCCACAAAAAATATAAAACAATTAAAGGAGAGTTGCAAAACAATGGTACAAATTATAAGTATTGGCAATTCAGGGACAATCAAGAATGCTATTTAGTTTAGCTCAAAGCCTTTCCCTCCTCCCAGTTTGGAAACAGCCTCTTCTCCACCCTGGCCAGGAACTCCAACACTGTCCTCCCAGCCTCTGCGGACTGAGAATCGAGAACTCCAACTAAGCCCCTGGAGACCACACCCCACCCCACCCTGCTTCCCCCTCCCCGGAATTTGGTGGGGAGGGCACAGAAGATCCAGGACCAGACAAGTGCACCCTACAGTCTCAAACCCCTTTGAGATCAATGTGGCTAGCCTGGGGTCCAGCCCAGAAAGGTAGGCACTCCCACAGCAGATCTCAAATTCTCCAGCTCATGCAGAATGTGATCTCAGCCTTCTACATGCACAGCATGATGCAGACGCTGCCCTAGAACCCTTACTTTGCTGCTCAGCATTTTCCAGACCCTTGGAAATGGTGGCCAGACTTTCAGCAGTGGCGGGGTACCAAGGGTTTCTGAGGCTGTAGGGGAATTCTTGGGCTGGGAAGGACCAGACTCCCTCCTCCTACCTTTCCTCTGGCACATGATGGTGAACACGCACTTTTGGTAGGGAACCTGTAGCTGCAGAAGCAGCTCCACCTTCAGCTCCCCATCTTCCTGCAGCAGATGCAGAACATGGAGTTACTGTCCATCCTCACCAACCCCCATGCCGTACAGGTGTTACTATAGATAGAGCAGGGACTGCATACCTTGAAGACTAAAACACCTAGGCTGGTCCCCACTTTTCGCTTCTTCAGGGTGCCCCGGACTCTGGCACCCTTGGCAGGCAGCAACTCTGGGTCCATAGCAGAGGCCCCCACCTCCCCACCAGCCATGGCAGCCCCATCTCCCACCCGGCCTTCCAGTGTCCAGCAGCAGCTCATGCAGCAGATGATCCAGCTTCTGACTGCAAGTGGAAACTCATAGGTGCAGACACCAGAAGTCAGATTTTAGCAGCAACTGGAGCAGCTCAACTCCATGGGCTTCATCAATCGTGAGACCAACCTGCAGGCCCTGATGGCCACAGTGGGAGGACAATGCTGCCACTGAGAGACTCCTGGGCTCTCAGCTCTCCCAACCCCTTTGCTCATGCCTCCTGCCCTCCTTTGACTCAGTGCCAGCCTTTTGCTGCCTCTGTCAGTCCCTCCCTCTGCAGCTTGTCCTTCTGCTCCTTCTTGTCCTCTCCACCCAGCAGACAGATTTTGGAAGCATGGGCCCCAGCCCCATAGCTTTGTCTGAGAATTTCAGTTTTACTGCTGTCTCTTACCAGAATCTTCTCTCTTCATCCTCCTTCTGAAGCGCCCTTCAAACAGATTACAGTTCTCTTGACTGGACCCCTCCTGGACCCAGCCACCTTTCGAAGTCTTTAGGCTTCTCAGTGGGACCACAGTAGTGGAGGGGGACCCAGTTGTATGGCTCGAGTGCAATCTTCCATGGCTACCTCTAGGGCTTGGCTTGGAACGCTCTTCTTTCCTCTCCCTCCCCGCCCAGCCCAGCCCAGCCAACCTAAAATGTCACATGCTGAAGGTGAGGGCCAGGTGATCCAGGCCTGTTTTTCCTCCTCAACTTCTATTCTGGTTGCACCACCCAGTTCTTTCTCATTCTCTGTAGGAACTTCAGGGGGCACAGAGATGCGTGTTCTCACCCCAGGAGGGAGCTGAAACAGGACCCTGAGTAGGACCCACAAAGCCTGGCAGCAGCCCAGGACACACTGGTGTATACAAGGAGAGGTTGCATTTTCTCAGAGGGAGAGAATGGGCGAGTCAGCCTGAGCCAGAAGATTTGGAGCTGGAATTGACATTTGGTGTGTGGAAGCACTTGTACCTCTTTTAGTCAGGAGAACTCAGGCCTAGGCCTGGCAGAGAGAAATAAGATCTGGGAGAACCAGAATTGAAGGGGTTCCACAAAGCAATGCAGTTTGAAATACAAGGAGTCATGTTGGCTCTACTTCCTCAATCACTTGAGCATATGAGTGCACATGCATGGGTTTCCATGGACCCAGGACCTTCCTGTATCTTGGCACAGTAATTTCTGCTCTCTTCAAAAGATATGAAGAGGATGAAGATCTGTCTCAGCAGAGGTGTAGCATGTGTCTACACGATTTCTGGTGTCTCTCACCATATATGAGTAGGGCAGACCAGTGTAGTGTAAGAATAGCGCATCCTGGAGAGCCGGGTTCCCTGAACTTCTGGGTGCTGGGTCGAAGTGTGGTGGATACCTTCTGGAGCTGTGAGGCTATGACTGACCCTTTACTTCCTGTCACTGCTTTCAGTAATAGCAGAGGGGTTTCTCTCTTCAGAGTCCTTTTGTTCATTGTTTCTTTCTGGGCCAGAAAGTGTTTTTGTTTGTTTGGATTTTTTTGTGTTGCTGGGGATTGAACCCAAAGTTTCACACATGCTAGGTTAGTGCTGAACCACTGAACTCCACCCCTGGCACAGAGTACTCCAGGACAGAGAGGGCAGGGTGGTAATGATGCCTTGAATCTGGAACTGAAGATGGCTCTCTTTGGGCCTTGAGGAGGCTCTGTCACCCCTAATCCCTGGCCAATGATATGCAGGAGGCAAGAGGAACAGAGCTCTGCTAGAGTGGGAAAGGGTCCCAGCAGTCCAGAGATGTCTTCCTTTCCCTCCTGACCTCCCCCAGTGCCCACACTGGCCTTTATAAATATATAGTGTGATCTTTGTTGTAGAAAAAAAAAGAATATTATATTTAAAAAATACTTTACTTTTTAAATAAAAATCCTTAGAAATTTTTTTTTGTAATTAGATTTTATCCATTACATATCAATGGAGAGGGAAATGGGAGAAATGAGATCAATTATTGCTATTAGAAAGTATTTTAGGTACATTGAGAGTGACTTATTAGCATTGTATATTTTATAAATATGAGTTTCCTAAAGTAATGATAACTATAACTTGAAGAATACCAGCTTTTCTAGAAAAGGGATTCTCCATCTTTAAGCATAAGCATTTCATTTAGTAGGTATGGTAATGGCTGACTGTTACCTACATCTCTTTGATGAGACAGCTCTTTATGGGTACTTGTGTTAATATCATCTTGGACAAATCACAGAAGCACGTATTCTGTTTGGAAGGGTGAACAGTCTCATTCTCTTCATTTTCTTTAGCTGGAAATGAAGGACTGAGTTATGTACTCTCAGATTTCCTTCAGATATTTCTGAAAATAGGTACACACCAGGATATCAGCTGAGTAATAATTCCCAGTGTTAAATGTTTCCTGTTTGTGGTTATTTTATGCATTAGAGTTATAAATTTTATTTAGAGTATATACATAAATTTTGACACTTTGTTGTTCCAATGCTTATCAAAGTTTTGATTCTTTAGCCCACTTTGATCATCTAGTGAAACTTTCTTGGCCTTCAGCTTCTTGGTTATAACTAGAGTTAATAAACATTTTGTGAAAACTTATGCGCCTTCTATTCATACCAGGCACTGAGCATACATAATACAGGATTCTTGTCCTGTACATTTAGAGTGAATTGACCAAGGAAGAAACTGTTACAAAGGCAAGTTAGTGAAGTAACTGTGAATCACATACTATTTCCCTACTTGTAGAAATTTTTATTTAAAACAACCCAATACCTTTCATAGGAAATAAGATAGGGCATAAATTATTGAACATATATCAGGTCACACTGTAAAACCAATAAACAGGGTTAAAGATTTGTTTGACCAGAAGCAAGAAAGCAGGCAGGAAATGCAAAATAGACGTTACACATTTTTTTTCTTGAAGGATAGACGTCATGCGTAAAATAGCGCTGTTAGGCAAGGTCGACTGCTAACATTCAGATTTATAAAAATGACCACAAAGATCGGGAACTAACACCAGAGTCTGGAGCTCTCCTCTCAGTCTTAGAGAGCCTCTCGTTGACTTGTAAGTAAAATAAACATCACTTTATTTTTGGCAACCTTTCTTTACAAGTCCAAACCCGATAATCCTTTTTCCACCACTTCGGGTCCGCCCTCTTCCTGACAGCTAGTAGCTGGCGCGCTCTTGTTCCAGTGACCGGAGAGAGCTGTCAATTCATTGGATCAGCTTGTGGCACGGGTGGTTCCCGATTGGTTTAGAGAAGAAGGCAGGAGAGAGGTGTGCCGGTGCGTCCCAAACGCCTTAACAATCTCTCCGCACAGAATTATGGGGCGAGGGGTGGGGCGGAATATAACCCGGAAGGACCTTTTCAGATTTGGACCCGCCCTCCGCTGGAGCTGATGTCTCCGCCCACAAGCCAGGCGAGCTCCTCTCTCACACCCCGCCCATGCTGTGGGAATCAGCTGATCTGAGGCTGGCACGGTCACGTGGCCGGGGCGCGACGCCCTTTGTGGCCATGGAGGTCGCAGTTTTCAGTGTGGTGAGGCGAGTGGAAGAGCTCGGTGACCTGGCTCAGGCTCACATACAGCAACTAAGTGAAGCCGCGGGAGAAGACGGTGAGGGAGCGTAGCGAGGGATGCGGGCGGGAGGGTGGTCGTTCTGGTTTGGTGCTCAGTTTGTGTTACGGGCTGGATGCTGCGGCCTGTAGGGGTGGCAGGGGTGGGGGTGGGGTCCTAGATCGTCGCTGTCCGAGGTCTTGAGCCCTCTGACGCTCGCTGCTCCCTCCTTAGCGAACTCACATTGCCAAGACACTTGCTTCGCAAGCCGCAGTTTTCATAATCCATGAACTTTGTCTTTACATCTGGTCGCGCCAGATCTTGGTAACGACTAGAGAAAGTTATACATGAACATTTAAATAAATGGTTAAACTGCGTGAGAGTACTCAAATGGTGGTTTCGCATCCAATAAAAAAAAAAAGACAAATATTACAATTCCATTCTTTAAATCTTGTGGTGTAAATTTTCACTGTATGTTTTTTATTCAAAACTCAATTGTTACCTATATTCTAGAAGAGCTTTACATTGGTGTATTTTAGAGGATTCTTTGATATATTTTCATAAGGGCGCTAATATGCATATAGTATTCTTATAAGGGCACTGTGTTAGAACACTTGTTTTGAAAAGGGCTGACCTTAGGAAAAGTTGGCTTAAGAATTACCTCAATATTCTGACTTCAGATCCACATCTCTTTTCATTATGTCTCAGCTGCCTCCTTCTAATGACTCCTTTTGAGTTTTGTGATTTTTACTATGGACAAGTTTTAAAACTGATGTGGGCTGACTCATTTAGTCATCTGATCCACAGGAAAACAGTAATGGGATATTTTCCCAAGTGATTGAATAGTTGACGAGTTTATTGAATAGGGTTTTGGGAATAGGGCCTATGATAAAATGAACTAGTTTTAGGGAAGATTGTTTGCTGGCTTAACTCTTCCTAGGAATATGTTTTTGAAAGACCTACAGACCGTGCTGAAGCTGACCTCTTTTTTGGTTTGTAGTAGGTGAATCCTAGGATTCACATGAATAGTACATAGATGGTAGTAATTACTACCCGAAAATGTATCCATCTTGCCATTAAATCCAATTCTATTTGTATCAGTCGAAAGAGATCAAAGAATGTTGTTCGCTAATTTATCACTGAACTCAAAATCCATCATTAATTTCATTTGGAAGAATTCTTTAATTCAGCCTAGACTGAAGCCTGACAGTAAGTCAGTGTTGTATATTTTTTGGAGGCTTTATACTTCTGAAATTTTACTAAAATTAAATTAAAATAGTAACTGTCTACATCATGAGCTGTTACTCTTTAAGTATTACCAGTAATATTTTCTTAATTATAATTAAACAAGGCTGCATATATTTGAATTAAATTTGTCATTCTTTTCCCAAATCTTCCAAAATTGTCCCTTAATGTAACAAGTATATGTTTATATTAGGTTGTAGGGATTGATAGTTCCTATTGTCTTAATTAGACCAGATACAGCTATACATGATTCCATTGAAGAATACTCTTTTTTACTGCTGGCTAATTTTTGTTCACTTCTTACTGTATGAACACAAGCATAATATGTTTCCTGTGTGGGGATATGCTGTGAGTGGGACTTTTCCCAGACATTATATAAAAATGACTTTCATCTTTTATCTTTTTAATTATTACTTTGACTAAGTATTTCTAATAAAAATACTGCATTTTTATGGATTTTCTCAAAATGAGTTGTACCACCAGATTTACCCACATACTTCTTCACCAATTGTTTAGTGAATTCAGTGCAAGTTCTTACATTTAAAATAAGCTCTCAAGTTAAGGCAGTATTACCAAAGTCTTGAAGCACATAAAGAGTGCTGTATTGCACATATTTTTGGTTCACAGTAGAATCTTTTCTTCCGGGTTGTATGGTTAGTACTTCTGACCTGAGGAGACATGGGGAGACTATTAAAAAAGTAGCTTTCAGTTCAAGTGAATAAAGATCTTATAGCAATGAGAATCTGGTAAAGGTACAAGTTAGTCCTTAGTGGGAAAACTGAAGGTCTTCATGTGTTACCAGTGGGTACAACCTAATAATGCTTTGTCCTCAGCATAGAACAGCTATCTTTGTTTTATTGTAGAGGCTGGATTAGATGGGCCCATAGTACGTGTTACATTATCTTTTCATTTGCCGATTAAGAGAAAGGGGTTTATATTTCAGAGACGCACTGACGGGTAAACTGAAGGACTTTAGTGTCTTATACTGTAGTACGCATATCTAAATTGTACTGCAAGAGGTGTTGCAGAAGGGTAGACAGTACTTTGGTGTGAACACATAAAAAGAGCTGAAATGATAGAGGAGTATGACAGAAAGCGAAAACTAGAAAACGGTGAAAGGGAGATTGGGTGTGTTATGATTAGTGGGCGTATCAGAAGTATTTTGTGTCTTTTCTTCCAGGTTTTGAGGAAATGAAGTAATCTATCCCATTTCTAACTTTTAAAGAAATAAAATAAATGCAGGCATTATGTAATTTTAGTTGCAACTGTGACAAACATTGTGATAAAGTTATAACTGCTCATGGTGGTGGTGATACTTTATGAAGCATTTGATTTAATTGACCCTTTTAGGAAACATTTTCAATTATGTTTATGAACTTACATATTTTTTGGGGAAATGCTTTTTGTAGATTTATATACAGAATTTATACTATTAACATTTTTAGTGCACTAGCATTATAAAAGAAGCATCATGAGAATACAAACTACACTTAAGAAATGTTAAAACTAAATAAAAAAAGGTTTTAGTCTTGCTTTCTAGAAAAATTTCCGTGATAACTTTATTTAATTACAATTCAGCATTATGATGTATTTCGTGCTTTGGCTAAGATATTATTAGTGCCTTGCTGTTCCTCCATATGCCATAATATCATTTTATTTAATCATTTCAGATCTATAACTTTGTTTAAATGGCAGTCAGAATCTATGTGAAGTAATCATCATGTTTTTATTTTTAAAGATCATTTTTTAATTCGGGCCTCTGCAGCTCTAGAAAAGTTGAAACTCTTATGTGGAGAAGAGAAAGAATGTTCAAATCCATCCAATCTTCTAGAACTTTACACACAGGTATTGAAACAGATGTTGACTGCAATTTTAAAATGTGATCTATTTGTAAAAAATACTGTAGGTTTAAAGCATTTAGACTTGACACTTTGAAGCAGTATCCTAACGGTTGAGATTTATTAGGTGTGTTGATAGGGATCCACAAAAATACCTTTTGGATAACAGAATGGTTTCTCTATGAATAATTAATCAGAATACTAATGCACAGTAGATCTTAAAGTCTTGATTCCAGAGGGAGTAGGGGATTATTAAAAGCACTGTTTGTTTCTGAAATTCATTTTTCCTTTGTATTCTTTAAATGATTCCCCATGCTACTGTCATACACATTTATAGATTTTTCTATTCTCCCCTTTTTCTTTTACTTCGCTTCCAAATTTAGGCCTGTAAGAGGACAACACCTATTTTGTTAGTTTTTGCAAATCCTACTGAGGTAATCTGACATTAAGAAATACAATTTCATATGGTAACTAACATTTATATTGTACTTTGTAGTTAATAAAGTGCTTTCATGTACCCTTTATTGCTAAGGATAATAAAGATGCAATGATTATAGAAACTAGAGTACCTAATTGTTTCCAAAGTGTGCATTTATAGCAGCTTTATGCTTGGGACTTTGCTGTCTGTTAGGAGGTACCTTATACAGATGGTTTCTATCTCTAGACATCATGGCTAAATGATCCTATAACAGATATTAACAAACCTCTAAAAACTACTTTAGTTTGGCAGGACGTTTGCCTGGCTTTCTTTGCTTTCAGAAGACTTTTTTATCTACTTATGGTAGACGTCATTTCTTTCAGATAAGGGCGTCCCAAACTTTTTAACTTGTTTTGAAGAATAAGCCAAAAGATTTACATATACAGATTTAAATTTTCCATATTCCCTTGAATCCTACTTATGATTTAAATCAACAGATCATGTTCCATAGGATACTGGTATCTTTTCTGACATCGGCCTTCCACATAGTTACATGTACCACTTAAATATTACCGTGTGTTATGTAATGTTTCAAGTATTTTATTTATATTCATTTTCTTTTCAAAGCAAAGACTTGAAAGGCATTAGTTCAATTTATCATTTTATCATTGAAAAAACTGAGGTTCAAAAAACATAAAATTAACTTGGGTTAAAATTGTTCTTGGTTAGGCAGGGGTGATTAGATTTAGAACCGATACTAGACTTTAGTTTTCTTTTTCTTAATCCACCTGATTTTAGAAAAAGATTAGGAAGATCTAATGTGCTTGAACAGAGCATTGCTTGTATTTAGGATTGCTGGGCTTAGAGTTTGATCTGCACTTGTTGTTATATACTTCCATTGTTGGGTGTTAAGATATATATCCCTCATTGGTTGTGCATTTAGGAAAATTAATTCTCTGAAGATCCAATATACAAAACTAAAGGAGGTTCAGGGATTATATATGCATAAATAGCAAAAATATATAATTTCTGTCATCTTTAATAATTATATATGAGTAACACTAATTAAAACATAAATCTCAATTTTACTTCTTGAGAGAAATAAGATAATCATTAATCCAGTATTTTAGTAGAATACATCTGAAGTTTTCTATAATGTCTGAAATTATAGTCATTTTGCCTACCTGCCAAATTTAAATAATATGCTAAAAGATTTTAATGTCTACTAAAGCATCTATGTATATGAAGTTAAAACTAAAGAGCTCATTGTTTCGAGTTTAAGTCATTTATAGATTCTTTTTAATCTTTTTAGGCAATTTTGGACATGACATATTTTGAGGAGAACAAGCTAGTAGATGAAGATTTTCCTGAAGACTCCTCTTCACAGAAAGTAAAAGAGCTTATCAGTTTTCTTTCAGAACCAGAGATTTTAGTTAGAGAAAATAATATTCATCCAAAAGTAAGTTTTGCACTATGGATTATGGGGCGGGGGATGCTGCTAGTTCTTGCTACCCTGCTCTTTCAAGGCTGTTTTTTCCTTTTTATTTATTTTTTTTGTACTGGGGATCGAACTCAGGTCCTTGTGCTTGTGAGGCAGTTGCCAGACCACTGAGCTAAATCCCCAGCTCTATTTTTTCCTTTTTAAATGTACTTTTATTTCTGTTTTAAGATTGAAAGAGGGAGATAAGAGAACTTAACACTACAGAACAATGTCACAGTACAGTATCATATTTTACTAAATATTTTCAGAATATTTTCATAACAGACTCATAATTGTTTACCTAGTAATTGTCCTTTTTATTATTTGTCTGTTTGGGTTTTTGTTTTGTTATATTGTGCTTTTTGTTTGCTTTTTTTTTTAGCCAGGATCTCACTATGTAGTTCAGGCTGGCCTTGACCTCATGTAGCCCAGGCTGTCCTGGAGTTCTCAGTAATCTTCCTGCGTCAGTGTCCTGAGTGCTTGGATTACAGGCATGTGCCACCATGCCTAGCCATCATTTTTTTTAACATAAATATCCCCTACTTTTACTTCTTTTTCTGTTGCAAATTCTTTCTTTTGGAAGGTCACTAGTAAGCTACTACGTTTGTTGTCCTGATCCTCCTGAACATCTGCTGCCTTTTCACCCAGTTCCTTGGAACGCTTGTAAACTCTTTTCTCCTTTGTCTCTGAGAAGGCTTCTCTTGCTATTTCCTTAGCATCTCTCTTCTCCTCCATTCTGGAAATATAGGCACTCTCCAAAAGTGTTCCATTCTAATACTCTCCTGTTCACATAGTTTTCATAGTCATCTCTAATTAAATGATTCGCTGGTTTACATCTTTAGTCCTAGATACTCTTTTAAGCAAATAATTTCTCACCTTTAATTATGTAGATATTTTCTTGGCTTTGTATATTTATTATGGAAAGCTAACGAAACAAATCATCCACAATTTAAAGAATTTTGAGTTATTAAAATTATTTTTGTGTAACTTTTCATTGTCTTATTCTAGTAATATAATTCTTACTCAATTTCTCACTTCCACTGAAGAATATTATTCAAGTAACATTTCTGAAAGATTTTTTTGAAAATCAGATTATGTACTACATATATTAGTGGTATGTTAGAATTCACTACCAAAGTTTTTAAAAACCTTTTAAAAACTGTAAATTGAAGAGATATTTTAATTTTAATGTAGCAGTATATTTCTATTTCTACTTGATTCAAAGATGGGCATTCTTGTACATGTAGCAAAACATGGGCACGTTTTGTGAAATGAGGGTTGTTTTTATTTTTTGATTACTCAAGTGTTTGCAATTTGCCTGCTACAGAAATGAGGTTTCTCTTTTTAGCCGTATCTGTTTTGTGTTTCAGCATTGCAGTTTGCTTGGGGATGAGCTATTGGAATGTCTCTCTTGGAGACGAGGAGCCCTACTGTATATGTATTGCCATTCTCTGACTAAGAGAAGAGAGTGGCTCTTAAGGAAATCTAGTTTGCTTAAAAAGGTAAAGTGATATTTCTTATACATTTTTAGTTATTGACATCTGTCAGTTTCAAAAAGTTGTGTTTGTTATATTACTAGGTCTTTTACTTACTAGCTGTATAATTTTAAAGAAATTAGAATTGCTGTGAAGATTAAATAAAGTAACATGTGAAAGCACTTTGTCATTCTGGGTGTTTCTCATGCTTTTTTTTTAACATTCTAGATTTTTATTTTTTTAAAGAGAAACTATATTAGTTTCTCTGCTTATTTCTTTTTTAACCCAAAGAAAATACTGTGTTTTGAGCCTCTCTGCCAGCAGATCATTCTTCAAGAACCCACATGACCCTGCTCCAAGAAAGTTACAGCCCTCTTGTTTGTCTTGCCCATTCTGAACAAATCATTAAATCCAAAGTACTGGATCTTAGTATTGTATCACTATGTATTCTAACTCAGGACTTGGACTTGGAAATGAGAGGCCACACTTTCAGATGTTTCTAAATCACATACATATATTTTGTTTTAAAACACTTCTTTATTGTAGCTTACCTTCTTTCCCTCTGATAACATTGTGACCAGTATATTAGTGAAGCATATTAGCATTTTCTCCCCTCCCCCCTTTTTTGCATACTCAATACTCACTACTTGTATTTTTAAAATCTTGGGAGTTGCTGGGACCACTGAAATGTAATAAACATTAGATTTATCTGTATATTAGTCCATTTGCTCTTAACTAAAGAATGGAAAAATATACTAGTTGAAGTTTATGTATGTCTGCATATAAAACTTTCAATTCTTTGGCTTTGATTTTTATTCAGTACCTTGTTGATGGGATCAGTTACTTGCTACAGATGCTAAACTATCGGTGTCCTTTCCAGTTAAATGAAGGAGTTTCTTTCCAAGACCTAGACACAGCTAAATTACTGAGTGCAGGTAATGTAATCTCTTTTTTAGATTTTTCTTAGATTTTATTTTAATTTAAATAAAATTTAAACTGGATTATAGTAAAAAAAAAACATTTTAAGAAATTCAAGGATTAAAATATTTTCACATAATATAAATATTTGTATTCTAATCTTTTGATTAATAATTTTTGGAGAGTTTTGTATCATGTCACTTTTATTTATTTTGCATCATACGTCACTGTAGCAGAACCAGATTAGACCTGAACTTCTATCAGAGTAGAAACAATTTCTAAACAAGGTAGATATTTAGACCTCTTTCACATAATAAAGTCTCAGAACTGGTACAATGGTTTTGTGATATCATCATGTACTTTTTCTCTCATTTTCAGAACCAGAGCACTTAAACTTCAGAGGAAAGTACTTTATATAGAAAATGTAAATACTTCTAGAGTTGTGCAGCATGCATTGTTTCCATTCTCTGTATCCCTAGATGCTTCTGGAGCACCTTCCATCTCATCTGTGTTTCAGGATGTGGCAATGACAGAAAGAAATTTCTTTCAGCTAAGTTAGCTCCTTTAGAGCAGCCTTCTCAGAAGTTTCTTACAACATTTCAACCTATATTTTATAGGTCAGATTTATCAGATGACTATACCTAGTTGTAAGGAGACCTGGGAAGTATAGTCCTAACTTGATGCTTTGTCATCTCAAGTTAAGATTCTTTACTAAGATAGGGGAAGTGAATGAATAGTGGGTGGCAACTTTAAGTTTCTGCCATAAACATCTTTGTGCTTGAAAATTCTAGGAACTGGATATGAAGCAGCTTTTCAGTTTTAGTCTGAAGTATGAGGGAGAACTTACTTTTACCATCACTTTTTTTTTTCTTTTTGATGGCACTAGGGATTGAACCCAAGGCCTTTGCACTAAGCTACATTCTTAGTTCATTTTTACTTTTTGAGACAGGGTCTTACTAAATTACTCAGGATCTACTTCCTTATCCTCCCAGAGTATTGGTTAGTGACCTACTCAGGCTCACATAGCTGCTGGTGACCCTAAATCATACAAGTAAACTTTCTTTGCTTATACTTCATCTGAAATTTTTGTGGGGAATAAAGAAATACGAGCAATAATAAGAAAATTTCATATAGAAAATTCTATAATTTTAAATATATTTTAATTTTTCCTATTTCTTTGTTAGTTTCTTTAGGCTTTTTTGTTTGAAAACATTTCTTAAAAATAAAAAGGTGATTTAAATGGCAGTAACATTTGACTAATGGTGTCCAAAAATTGTTATTTGATTAATTCAGAGTATCCTAACAATTTACTGTGAATACAAACAGTTCCTTCGTTGGATGTGACATTTTGACAAACTGGGTATTTTGATAAATTCATGGAAAGTATATATTAGTTATTAGCTATTCCAGATAGTTAATTAGAGACATTGAAAATAGCTTTATAAAAATCTCTGTCTGACCTACTTGGACAGACTCTATTGAACTCTAAAACTGGGAGGGACACTGTTGAAAGGAAGAAGGTGAGAAAGAGAATCGAAGCCTATTTAGAACCAAGGAAACTCACCTGTTTTTCTCATTATCCTGTTCTGTTGAAAAGCCAAGTACTCTGGCCTGGAAATTTTTTCTTCAGTAGATGTATGATACTAGTGCCTTCTCTTCAGTCATATTTTGAAAATATATTAATTAGCCTCTAGCTTCAATTGCTTTTTCAGCAGGGGAGTCAAAAGGGTCAGATGTAGTCTTAAAGAATTTTCCAGGGAAAATGAACAAAATTGCTAAAGCAATTTTGCCACAGTATTCAGTCATCTTATGCTGTCAACTTCTCACCTAAAGAAGGTTGCTTTGCCCATGTCCATCTCTCTGCATGATTATATTGAGAGTTAGGAAACTGACTTTTCATTGGTTGAATTTTTCCTAAGACCCCCATAAGAGAAAATCTAATTATTTTTTATTAGCTAGTCTTCGATGTAATCCTTAATCTTTAGGAAGAAACAATATTTAAGTTAAAAAGTTCTTAGTATTCTGAATAATTCTGATATTTGGAGAGAATAAGATTCTGTTAAGCATCAAACTATTTTGGTAGTCAGATTTCTTCTTGGCCAGATTTTCCTAAGTTTAGGCAAAGCTCAAGGCAATGTATGCTTACTATGGTTAGTTACATTTGATACTTACAAGAGAAAAGAGTTGTATTGGACATAAATTTTCGACTATTAAAAATTACCAAGCAGTGTATGCATAAGCCTCCACAAGTTACCATTTTACTCCTTAGCCTCACTTCTCTGTGAAGTGGGGGCCAGAGGATCTTTGGACACAGCCTTATCAGATAATAGGCTTGTAAAAATAGCCTTATCAGAATATAACTAGAGTCAAATGGAGTGAATCAAAATCCTGTCCAGCTTTCAGATTCTTGGTTTTTGCACCCCCACTTTTGAAATTGGATTCACTATGTAGCCGAGGATGGCCTCAAACTTAAGGTGATCCTCCTGTGTCAGCCTTTCACATATAAGGATTCCAGGCATACCCCACCTTGTCCTGGTTTTGCCTTTTCAAAAATATTCTTGGGGACCTTCCTACTGCTGTAGCCTTTTAATCTATTGTTTAAGGTAGAACCTGAATTTTAGATCCCATAAAGGGCAGCTCTAAACTGGTATTACTAATATCCTTGACAGTTTATTAAAGATACAGATCTTGTGTGCGCCATGCAGGTTTCATTCAGTATATGAAGGTGAGGAGTCTATTTTGAGTAAGCTCAGTAAATTATTAGATTGCAGGTAGATTTGGACATAAGATAACAATCTATACCTGTTTTCTGTGGAAGTCATGTTATTTTCTCAGTCTCATTTCATGGATTATATTCCTTCTCCTTCCCTGTCCACACCTCTCCATGTCACATATACTCTGCCTGCCATTACATGTGCATTCACCATGGACATTCACATACAGAATTAAGTGTTTTATTGAAAAAAACATTCTGAGTATTAACAGAAAAAAAGTTGAGAAAAATTCATAAAAGCAGTTTGTATCACTAGATTATTGAACTCCTTATGGGAGTAGAGAAGAAAAGCATACATAATGTATCTCTTTCTCTGATATTTTAAAGAAAATTTTCTAGTCCTTGGGATTGAACCCAGGGCCTTCACATTGAGCTATATCCTCATCCATTTTTTAAATTTTTTGAGACAAGTCCTGGTTTGGCTTGAACTTGTAAACCTCCTACCTTAGCATTCCAGAGTGCCAAAATCACAGGCATGTTCTATGTTTTTTATTTTGTGGTACTGGGGATTGAAACCAGGGCCTCACACAAGGCAGGCAAGTACTCTACTGGTCGTTAAGCTACATCCCTAGTGCCCTGTTCCTCTGATAGTTCTGAGAGTAGTAGTCTGTTGACAACCACTAACAGCAGCAGCATCCTGTAGGTCATAGAAATTTCTTTTAAAAAGTACAGATTTATAGCTTCTACCCTGTGCCTGAATCTGAAATTCCAAGGTGGAGGCCCATTAGGTAGCATTTTAGTAAGTCTGCCAGATAATTAATTCTAATGCAAACTAAAGTTTGAGAAACACTTTTTGGCATATAACCATTCATTTTCTAGTAACACTTTACTATAGATGATCTGTGTACTTTGGTGTTCTTGCTCATACAAAAAATGAAACTAACCTAAAAAGCGGGGCATAGATTGGCTCTCCAGTCTCCCTTAGACAACATTTCTCACCCCCAGTTCCCTGGTTTCACTTTATGAAACATTTTAGCTCCTCCCTTAAGGAGATTCTAGTCTGCTTAAAAGTTTAACCATTCTTCCAGTTTTACTTCTGTCCTTACTCCTTTCCACTGTGTCTGTTGTTTGTTTGTTTCTAGGGATTACAGTGGGATCACACAAATAAAAAAGATGTACATTCAGTGATATGCCATATCTAATAGAAAATTCTGAATAATATCTACTGTTTTAACTATGTTTTTCTTTGAGGATTAGCTACAAAGGAATAAAAGGAAATGCTTTTCTTTTGAAATATATGTTATACTTATTAAATTAAATTAAGGTTATTTTATATATACAAAATATGATATAGTCTATTTTCATGAATGCAAGCGTCACATTCTATTTAATGGTTTTTGCTTTATTGATATAATATTCTAATGAGTCAGCAATTCTACTGCAACTATTGCCTCTCTTGCTAATATGTTATAAGTTGAGTTTGAGGTGAAGTGAAGGTCATAGCTAGAAGGAAAATTCTGAAACTACAAAGCTTGCAGTTGGCTTAAAACATCATCGTAGTCAATTTCTTTTAAACCATACAAGGTGAACAGTTGAGATTATTATACTCATTTACTTGAGGTAACCTTTTCTAGAAACGCAAGCACCTCATATGAGTATAAATCATTTATACTTCGGTGACCTTAAGAAGTTAAATAATCATGTATTTTAGTGACACTTTGTTTTATGAAACTTAAACATTTCAGTTGCGCACATTCCTTAAGAATATGCTAAATCGTGTAGGGTATATGGAATCGTAATTTTTCAGATTTATAAATTGAGTCTCAGAGAGCTTTCATATGTTGCTTAAAGTCAAAAGCCAGTAATTCATACCCAGATCTTTTGATTCTAGGTTCATTTATCTTCTTACTAAATTACTTTGTATAATATACTTTGTATAATATAAATGTTTAATTATGTAACTATCTACTGAATAAGAAGAATGAAGAATGCATTCAACTTTTTTTTTTGGTGCTGGGGATTGAGCTCAGGTCCTTATGCTTGCAAGGCAGTCAGTGGAACCACTGAGCTAAATCCCCGGCTCTTCATTCAACTTTTGATGAAAATTTTGCAGTTCATTTCTCTCTCCTAGGAGTACAAAATATGTTGTATATAGTTAACATCTTTGATAATTTAAATAATATATTTTCAAAGATATTTGGCACATGATACCTTTGTTATACTCTTAGAGAGATATATTAGGTATATGATATATGACTTGCTACATCAGCAATCCCAGTGCATACACCAGAATAAGAGTTGTATACATGAATGAAATTCAAAGACTTTGAATATTCAAAAGGTGTATATAGAATTTGAGGTATATTTCTATGAGGGGTTCCACTGATAAAATTGAAGGTCATTGAAAGGACCCCACCCCCAAAAAACATTTAAGAATACTTAAACATTTCTTTAAAAAAAAATGTTTAACAATATTCTGTTTTTGTCAATATGCTATTCTCTTATATAGGTAAAATAGAAGAGCTGGTTAAATTGGGGTTATATTTGTGATGTTGTGCTCTTTAAGTGTTATTAAATGAGATGAACAGTGCCTAATGACAAGGAATTTACTAGTATTTTAATAACTAGAGTTTCTTCTAAACCTGTAATTCTAATATGTCAACATCAATGACCTTCTCAGGAATATTTAGTGACATCCATTTGCTGGCGATGATGTACAGTGGAGAAATGTGCTACTGGGGATTGAAGCATTGTGCAGATCAGCAGCCAGATAATCATGAAGTAGATACTGGTATTTCCGGAGCCAGCTGCACTACACACAAAGAACCCTTGGATTTTCGAGAAGTAGGAGAAAAAATTTTGAAAAAGTATGTATCTGTTTGTGAAGGACCCCTGAAAGAACAAGAGTGGAATACAACAAATGCGAAACAAATTTTAAACTTCTTCCAGCATCGCTGTAACTAGTAGTCTGTCTAGTCTTTTTCAGTCAGAAAGACAAAAAGACCCATGAAATGGAAAAAAGTTTCAGAAAAGAAGACATACTGACACTCATTCTGAAAACATTACATAAAGCTATCCAGTGTGGTTAGGTTACTCTTTTTAAAATACTATCATCATCTTTCATTATACGTTCTTAAGCCTATGTAGAAATGATTCTTTTAATTTCTAAACTGATACATATATAAATAAATATCCTTTCTCACTTTGAACTAGATATCCTGTCACTAGTGAGGAAAACCCAAGTTAGCTTTAGTATAATTCTTTTCCCTGATGCATTAGATTATTTTTTAAATTGTGATAAAGTATATGTAACATAAAATTTAATCTTCTGTCTTGAAGTTTGCCATGCTTCAAACATTAAAATCAGCTCACCTTGTTGCTTTGACTACCTAGCAGTATAAATGTAGGCAAAATGAAAGATTAATTCAATGAAAGACTAATATTTACACTTCATTTCTGATTATGTAAATAACAAAAGGCTCCACAATCAGTTATGTTTATTTTGCCATGTGTTACTAATCGTTTAAAATTTTTAACTTCTTTTAGATATTTTATAAAAATGTAAAAATTATTTTCCTATTTTATTTAAAATGCATGTTTTTTCAAGTAATGAAGATTAAAAACCAACTTGGGTTTTTAAAGATACAAACCAACTTTGTCCATATGTCGTTAGGATATATCTTTTCATACTGTACTAAAAATTCAGTATTTTTTGCTTTTAATAGCTTGGTGAAATACTAAAGGTCAAGGAGCCTAACTTGATAACGTGCTCACTGTCTTTCTGTCTACCTCAGCTCCTACTGTTCTTGGGCTGATCTGTCTGAAACCTTGCTGTACACTAGACTGCTGCCCAAATGATTTTCACACATTCCAGCAACTTCCTCCTAGGGTATACCTTGAGCCCAACTATCCTGAGTTAGGCTTCCAAAATCCTCACTTTAGGTAACTGATGACAGCTCTCATCCTGCCAGCTTTTTTATTTCCTTAATTTTATTGATTTTTCTTTTACTTTTATTCTACAATGTGTAGCTTCTTCACAGCCTTCTTTTCTTAATTGCCCCCCTTTAGTTCTACATTATCATCCTCTTTTAGATGTTTTTGTGCACTCACCGTATGAACTGCTGCTGTTAGCAGTTGTTCCCTCATCCTTCAGCCCACTGATTTTACAAGTCCTTAACATTGAATTAATCCTCTTATTAATCTGTAATCCTCTTATTAACATGTAGAATGCTTCATGGGAAGAGCATACAGTCATTCAAAGTGGAATCACTGCAAGTGTCTCACTTCAGCTTTTGAAAAACCCTCAGTGTGAGCTTTTGGTTTTTTAGTAGGGTGGCTTTATGTCTTTCCCTACTGTGATTGAGCCAGAAACTTCACTGGTGTCAGGCTCTCTTTCATCCTCCCTACCATACAGAAAACAGACTATAAGATCAAGTAATATTAACCAAGTTTACTCATTTTCCCCATTTTAGAGAAAGAGGTATTGCTTCTTTTGAAGGCTAATTTATGCTTCAGGATCTCATCTATGCTATTTCCCTCATTTCTCTTGTTGCTTCTCATTTTTGCCTACCTTTTTAATATACTGTTCTTTATTAAAGTTGTGTTCTCTTCCTTTCATTTTCTCTCTTTTTTACTCTAAATACTCATTACATTATTTATAGCAATTTATTTTTCTACCACTTGTTATATCAGGCTGACTCAAACCAGTACTAGAATCCTAGCCTCCCTCTCTTAGACAAACAGCCCATGTAATTTTAAGTTTAATGCATTAAAACAGATCCTCATCTTTTATGCAGAATGTTTTATGCTTCACGTGTTCTTCTTTTGGGATGAACCGTACAGCAGAGAAACACAATGCCTGTCTTCCAGCCTCATCCCTACCATCATGTTCCAGTCCAGTGTTCCTCAAACACTGAAAGCACGGGCTCCTTCGGGGGCGGGGATATCAGGGTTTGAACTCAGGACCTTGCACTTGTGAGGCAGGCAGTGCCACCACTGAGCTAAATCTCTGGCCCCACTGTCTCCTTTTTGATAAACATAAAATTCTGAAAGAGTCTTTGGGGCCAGGAGAAGCCAACCCTGTCCCTGATTGTTTCCTTGGATTATCCTTACACAGCCAAGATTATTTTTATTTCAGTTAGCATTTTACAGTGTTATGAAAATACCTTTGTGTTTTCTGAATATAAAGATATAAACCATTTTTAATATGCTTTTTAGAAGCACAGACTGTCCCTCCTTTTGGAGATCATGATCAATCAAGTACTTCCAATTCCATTGCCAAATGTGCTTATATGTTTTCAACCTCAATACTCTTTTAGATGTCATTACTTCTGTGCCCTTCTTTGTGGCCAAGTGAATACATACTTGGATGCAGGTTCAGTATATCAGTGTCCAAAGGCTTTTTTTGGCTCTTTCTAGTCAAAATTAAGATGTTCTTTGTTAGTTTCTTTGTCTTCCCCCCCCCATGTTAACAAACTTATGTTGCTTTATCATGCATGCCATATTTTAAGTTTTCCTTTTTATATAATGTTCGATGAATAGTAGGCCCTTATTAATGTTTTCTTGAATTAATGAGGCGTGACTCTTAAGTGCCAAACTGCACAAAAGGGTTGCTGCTATTAGATTAGAAACTGCCATGCCCTCTACACCATGGTTGACAAGCAAAAAGAGATATTCAGTCCTTACAGAAGTAAAGTATTATTAGATTCTGAACCTGCAAAAACAAGAGAATTTTATTTTCAGAAACTGGGAGCTTCCATTTTGATTGTATGACCTTTGTGGACTCACTGGTCAGTACAATTATGAGGGTATTACTGGGTGCTTTTGTATAACTTTGCTTCCTAGAAACAATTAGAGAATAATTCATAGACCATAGCAGTTATAAATGCTTTTTACTCTGTCAGAACATATTTCTGTATATGTGAAAGCCTGCTAAGTAAATTCTCTTTCATTTAGAATGAAATAACCTCAGTTTATCAAACACTCCACATAAGAAAACTACTATAATTCCTTTATTCGGTTAACTACTGTCTACCTACTACATGCCCTATTTTTGGGTACTGAGGATGTAGCTTTGTTAACACACTCCTTTTTCAGAGCTTGTATTCTAGTGGAGAAAGTTAGACAAAGTGTTTAAGAAATAAATGTATAGTGTGTCAAGTGGTGAATACTATGAAGAATACATCAAAGTAAGAGTCTGCTGTGACTTGGATATGGGTGCTATTTTATTTAGAGTGGTTGGGAAGTCACCTCTCACCTGTACTGCTTTTTTAATATTTGTGTCTTCAAATTCCACCATATTGGCCAAATGCCTTGTATATTTAGTACATTCATAAAGTTATTCTTTCTTATGGCTGTTCTGATAATAAAGGATAAGTAACTACTTATGACCTCTTTTTTTTTGTTGTTATATTTAAGGGATTTCTCTTCAATGTGGGCTTTACTAATGGGTATTAATTACCTAAAGACTTTGTTGCATTTTTACATGTGGGGTTTCTCCTCAGTTTGAATTCTCTGATGGTTACTAAAATTTAAACTCTTAGATGATCTTTCATAATCCTTAAACTTGTATGATTTTCCCAGTATGGATTTTCTGATGTCAACGGGGCTTACACATCCTATTTTCCTACATTTATAAGATTTCTGACTGTGAATTGGTTGATGCTGATTAAAGTGCAGATCACAATGTTTTCCTTATTCCTTTGCATACACTACAGTAAGGTGAGTGTCATGGCCCAGTCCCAACATAAAATTACATTCCTAGTTTAACAGTCTAACTGTGAGTTCTCTGATACCCATTACAGTGTAATCTGTGTCTAAAGGCATTCCCAGCTTCATTTTAATGGTGTTTTTAAAAACCCACAGCTGATTAATATGCTAGTTTTAGATGGTCTCTTTTCTCTTCCTTCCAGGGCCCCTTTTCTGGCTCCAGTAAGACTACCTTATCTGCCACAAAATCCAGAATTCTGTAGTTCTTTCTTATCACTTCTGTGTATGTCTTTAAAACACAATATGAGATACCATATTATGGAAGTATTACATTAACATACATTTGATATAGCCATAATCAAATAATTCATTATGTATTTATATTACTGTTGTTTTGTTTTTCCTACTTCTGGTGAAAATTTCTAAGTACAATGTTTTGGAGCATATAATTTTTAAAAAATAAAATCATATTCCTCTACTTGTTTCTGTTTTTTCCCTTCTATATTTTTCACTGTATCAGAATGAAAGCTTTTATCATCTCAGTTTATTATTCTAAATATTATTTGTTTTGGCCCTAATAATTTTCAGACAAGGTAACATAATGGGTAGGATTGTACTATGTTCTAGAAAGCCCAAATTTAAATCACAGTTCTACCATTTCCTGTTAACTCCACGTAATCTACTTAATCTTTCTAGGCCTTAATACTTTTTTTTTTAACCCAGGAGCAATAATATCTTCCTGACAGGATTCTGAAGATTAAACGAATAAAGTGCTTTAGTTCAGTGCCTAGCCACTGTGAAAGCGCAAGAGTTAGCTATAATTATTTTCCTTAATGTCAGAGTTCCTGTGAAGGCATACCTCATTTCACATCTAAAATCAGAGTGCCCATCACCTAGAACAAGTGAGTGACAAACTTGTTGCCCAGTAAGCACTGCTTTTTCCTTTATTCATATCATACTGATCATTCTAGATGATCTTTAGCGTTGGTGGAGCGTAGAGATCTGCTAAGTTTAGCAATATATTTCAAGAGTTTTACATAATAGTCACAAGGATGTTAGGTCATACAGAGGTTGAAAGTAAATGGCTATTAAAGGGACTAAGCCCAAGATAATTTTGGCTGTCCTGTCTGCAACGTTTCATCTTTGTAATCACAATGTGCTAGTCACCCAAGGTCAGTTTTGTAGGGTGTTAAATATAGAATTTCAGCTGCCTTTGAGAACTTCAGAGTGCTCCTCTAATTTCAGTTTGTGCTAATCACCAGAATGGACAGAAAATTGGTAATATAAATCCCCACATCTAGTGCCGAAACAAGCAATTACTTAGCCCACGGTAGTGGAAGAGGGCTATCTATCCACTAAGCAGGAATCACCTAGGCCCTGGAAAAGAGGCAGGTGGGCCTAAGGTCTAGAGGGGACACCTCGGGGAGAACTGGAAGTCATAAAGGGGCAGGCGGTTTCTCAGCTGTGGGCGAGGTTAGCGAGGCCAATGGGAAGCCAGAAGGGAATACGCAAGTGAACTTTGGCACCGGCACGGGCAGGGATGCAAGCCAGCCTGGGCCAGCCCTGGTCCTGTCCCAGCTCCTCCGGAACTCAGCGGGGCGGAGGGGCGGGGCGGGCAGGATGGAGCGCGACGCGGG